TTTTTTTTTTTTACAGCGTATCTCAATCTTCTTTGATTTATACGTTTACAACAATTATTTCGTATAAGTCCTGTTAAAAATGCCTGGTGCAGGTTTAGACGTGTTGCCAACCGAAGGACTCGGAAAAGCGAAAAAGCCGATCATGGCGGTCGCAATGAATTCTTTCGATAGTTGGCTCAACAAGAAATTACAAGCATTAAATACCGACGAAGGTGTATTTGGATCGTACATCAAGGGAATCTTAGAAGGTGATGAGACGGAGGACGAGAAGACCGAAGCCCTTGAAGGCATACTCGCTGGCATAACGGTGAGGAGCACACGGATTGTGAGGTTAGAATATGCTTGCTGTTCGTAGCTTACTAGCCGGTCAAAAATAACAACCGGTATTTATTATTATTCTTTCTCTCGTTAAATAGCATGTGTCTCCTTCGACTCTACATATCGTTCCTTTCCTTTCTATGCATGCTCGTTTAAACACGGCCGATATATCCATTATGTTCTTTCTACATTCTAATAATTCGATGATACGCGATAAGTGATCGAGTAATGGTAGTGAGGTGTTTAATCTTATTTGTTCTTTATTTTTTTTTTTGTAGGACGATAACATCAGTAAACATGTGAAGGAAATCTTGAAAGCTTGGGCCGACTATCTACCTGTTGAAGACGTTGCTGCTGCAAAGGTGCCAATGGAAGACGTAGATGTCAGACTGGCGCGAATGTTGGAATCTCAGTCCTTACCGACCACGACGCAGAGAAGTTACACAGAGGAAGAGAGGAGAATAAGAGAAGCTATTCTTGCACAATACAGTCAGATGTCAGAGGAGGAGAACAGCGAAGGAGACGGAGAGGAAGATGGTGCCAGCGGTGGAGACTGTGGCATCGAGAGAAATACAAATGTGTCTAATATAATACAACAGGAAAGAGAAAAGAGAGAAAAAGCTAAATTGGAGAGTCAGAGGAAGAAGGAGAAAGACAAGGAAGACCGGTACGTTCTTAACGAAGTATCCTTTTTTTTGTAAAAATACAATGAATACGTTGTTTAATCTATTGCTGTTCTTTAGCGAGAAACAAAAACAGTTGAAAGAGGAGAAGAAGGAAAAACGAAAAACACAAAAAGGGGAGAGAAGAAGGTAGCATTGGGACAAGAAGACTTTCAATTTTACCTCAAGAGTTAAACTAATTAAATGCAAATCAGCATACATATACATTTACTTTTACTCTCATGCATGCAATGTTCTTCAACAATTATTTAAATTATTTACCAATTCTTTACTAGAAATTTGTGTATGTAGAATACATATCCCAAGAGAACAAGATATAAGGCAATTATCAAAATATACGTCTCTTGCTAAACAATGTTAATTATATGTTAACTCTATCATATGTATATGTATATAACATTGCATCTTGTGCCTTCTGTCTATTGAGAATCTCTGTGAAACGATGTAATCTTTAAGATGTTTTCTATTCTCGTTCTTTTCTATCTTTCTTTTTTGTAAAATTCTCATCATCTGCTTTAAATCAATTTTCCAATATTAACGTGAGACGATCATTAAAATGTAAAATAATGATAACCCGAATATGGATGAATGATTTATACTTGTCTTCACAATGTACGTTCCTTCTTTTCATCATATAAATTATGTATTTAATATAAATATACTAAATAAACAACTGTCCAAATAAATTAGACGATTATCCTGCATTTGGCGAACTTCTCGATAGCGGGGATAATAAATTTAACACTGGTTTTTTATGTTTGTATTTTTTATTAGTATATATTTACACACAAGATATCGTGTCGAAACCGAGTCATCTTGGTATTGCATTAATAATGAAAGACAAACGCAGTAAGATAAAAACAAACAAACAAATGATACAAAAGATGATGATGCTTCAGTATTGTATCGTTACATATACTAATGTCATTATCATAATCATTTTTTTTTTTTTATTATTAGCAATTCTTTACTTCGTTCATTATAATTAAGTTGGGCAGAAATTGACGAACATACACTTGCACGATCTTTCCTGTTGTTCAGCGTCGAGCTGCAAATCATCGTTATCAATTCCTGCTCTCTCACTCTCGTTCTCTCTCTCCCTCTCTCTCTCTCCCGCTCGTTTCTCCTATACTCTGTGAATATCCTTTCCCCCTCCCTGATTTTGTTTATCGTTTCTCTTTTTGCTTCGCAAAGCTCATTGTTAAACGTCGAATAAAAATCCTCGCACATATACATGTGTGTGTGTGTGTGTGTGTTTAATTGATATAACAACCGAAACGTAATATACGCTAATACATTGGCTAAAGAATATA